AACTTTCAGCGGGCGGGTCAGGAATTGTGGATGTTCACATCCACGACGTTCTTCCAGCACAACAACGAAGAGTTTCATCAGGCGCTGGGGAACATGTTGCGGGACGATGCTTGGCAACAATCATTCCCCAACATAATGCGTATGTGGCAGTCTGTCGCCGTGCCGCCTTTGAGCACGGTTGAATGCGAGAGTGGATTTGGAAAGCAGAATTTGATAAAGACCTGGGGACGCGGCAGCATCGGCGATACAAGTCCGGAGCACCTAATGCGCTGTTCCCTGCTGCAGTACGACATCGGCTGGTACGAGGTGGTCGCCATTTTTCGCGGAGAGAAGCTCAGACGCTCCACCAGAGACTTTGATGGGAGCAAGGCCAGCGAGGCTCAGTTTGTAGCTGAAGAAGTGGTTGTTAGTGTGCCAGACTCTGAGTAGATGCAAGGTTAGAGGTTTTTTAATAATGTGGACTGTTACATGTGAAACTAATGAGTTAGAAAAAATACAGTGCAAACAGCCTAACTGAATCAGTGTACGGATGTTGTTAGGCTGTTTCCAGCAGGGTACGAAAAACATTACCCTAGGGGTCAAGGTACGGGCGCCATGAACCCTGATTTGTCAGGGTGGGCCAGAACCAACTTTGGGCCCTGCCGGGAAGCTTGTATTGTTGAGTGCAAAATATGGTTCGCACGTCAACCTACCGGTACTGCCTATTCAATGACGCGACGGTGAAGGAAAACGAAGGTTGTTGTTTGAAGGTAATTTGTACTGCGTGAGATGTGTATTTGTGTGCTTTACATGTATGCGTTTACGGTTTATGAACCACCTCTCATCGGTTCATGAGTTGTGTTTTGTTTTGGTAATGTTTGTTTGTTTGTTATGTTTTTTTTGTTTTTTTTTTTAAATATGTTCACTATACACTCGTGATACAAGCGTATACGAAAACATACGTCAGTCGTAACTGAGCATGAGAGGCCGGAACAATGGTAACGACCTCAGGGGCAGCGTCTAAGGCAGATGCAGAGCCCCCCGCGCAAGATTCCACAGAGTGCCAAAATTCCGGGTCCACTTCCAACCCTTCTCTTCCATGCATCGGATACGTCCAAGCAAACTGTCCTCCTGTTCCGCCAGCGCATATGCCTTCCCGTGTCGTTTCGAACCACCGCCCCTCTCCAGCTTTTTCCCCATTGCGCGGGTGTACATCTTCAGATGCAGCCGAAAGGCTGCCTCGATACGCCTGAGGACGCGCCGAGCCCGAAATTTCTTCTCACACACTCGCATCTTTCTGCCCAGATCTGGTGCACCGCAATGGTAGCCAGCGAGGCTTCTGGAAAGGTTGAGGTGGACGCTGCCTTGCCAAACAGAAAATCGCCCAGGTCCGCCACTTGCCTCGCCCGGTGAAGCATGCGCATGGCACGCCTGACTGCCACCACCACACGTTGAATGCGCGGGCAGGTGAAAAGGCAGTGCTCCAAAGTTTCAAACTCCCCGCGGTGTGGGCAGATCGGTTTGCCGCTTAGGAAAGAGAGCCTTTCCCCCACTTGCAAATTGAGACTGTGAATTATCAGCAGCACATCGCGCGGCCTGTTCGAGGTTACCAGAGAGTCGCGGATCTTAATCACCTCCTTCCAATTTATTTCTCCGGCCCATCTGCCCGCCCACAGTTCCCTCTTGGCGGATTGGTGCTTCCTCTGCTGCCAGCTAACCTTCAGTTCCCTGAGCGTCGTCAGCTGCCCACCGCTGAGCACCGGGGTTCTCTGGAGAGGGACCCTCAGGGGCGGACGGGGCTCCTGCCTTTGCTCAGCATGCAGGAGAAGCAGCTTCCAGTTCTGCGGTACAGCTTCCCAGGCCCGTAGTGCCAGCTTCGCTTGCTTGGTACCGCCAAGCTCCTTCGCCACATATTTTACGTCTTTTGCGCGCCGGCCCCCCACGTCGTCCGGGCACAGCAGGTCCCCCAGCCGGACTTCCCATAGCTTCGCCGCCACCTTCTGCCCTCCTACCGGGGTTTTTGTATTCAGCAAAGTATGGCGATCAAAGACGATTCTCTCCCTCTCTACCTCCTCCCGCGATAAAGCCGGCGATGTGTCACCCAGCGGTGATTGCATGAAGTTCCCACATGCCAACTTCCATCTCTCACTCTTCCTGCGCCAGCACTTTAGGAGCTTGACATGCGAGACAAAGGTGTCCAGCCCCAGCGGCAGGTCAGCGGCCTTGAGCATCATGTCCCGCTTCAGCTCATTCGTCTTGGTGAGGAGCGATCCGATGCGTCTCTCCGTGAGGCAGGTGAGGGCGATCTCCGGATCATTCACTCCAACACCCCCGTCCTCCCTTGCCATGTACAGCAACTCTTTACTCCATAAAATGAAGCCCTTGTCCATGGAAGCCCGGTTTCCTGACATAAAGTTATGTGTCAGCTTCAGGATTCTTCCCCATATGTCCACCGGAGGAGGGTACACCTGCGCCTGGAAGAAAATTATTGGCGAGATGTAGCAGTTGATCACCACTGCTCTCGCGCTAGTTGTCAGATGTTGCGCCTCCCACTGTCTCATCTTCTCTTTTATGCGTGCGAAAGCCTTTCCCCAGGTGGGCGTACAACAGCCGGCCAGTGACACCCACACTCCCAACAATCTTTCCGCTTCGTCCGCCTTCACCCATTTGAAGCCGTCCGTCTTGCAGGTCTGCTTGTTCAGGTTACATCCCAGAGGTAAGACTGCCGACTTCGTTTTGTTCGTAGCCAGCCCCGAGTCCCTTTCAAAGTCATCTAACAGCTGCTCTGCCTCCGCGATTTGTTCCTCCCCTTGCAGGAAAAGCGCCGTATGATTGGCATACCCCAGGTACGCTAGCCGCTGATCACCCTCAGTGAGCCCCAGATTCCGGTTTGCGGCCTCTTGCGCCAGAGGCTCCACTGCGCACAGAAAGAGGTAAGGCGCAAGGGGACAGCCCTGCCGTACCCCCGACACCACCTCCACTGCTTCCCCCATCCAGCCGTTGACTAACAGCCTCGTCTGCGTGTCTTCATGCAGGCCCCTGATCCAGCTGACAAGCTGCTGGGGAAGCCCATCTTTTCCAACACCGTGAACAGATAGCTCCTCAAGACCGAGTCGAAGGCCTTTTTGAAATCCACCAGCAGGAGATACCAGTCCGCAAATTTTTTTTTTTTTGCAGCCTCAATCACATCCACGACCGGCCCCACCGCATCAGACAGCCTCTGGCCCGGCAGGAACCCGTATTGCTCCGGTGAGATCACTTCATGCAAAACCCCTTTCATCCTGTCCGCGACCACCTGCGCCAACACCTTGTAAGTGAAGCTTAGTAGCGTGATGGGTCGGTACTTCTCGACTGCGTTGCGGCCTCCCTTCATGTGCAACAGTATAGTGACAGCGTCTTTTGTGCTTGCAGGGAGCGTCGCCGATTCCGTGAAACTCCCCACCAACTTCATGAAATGCTTTCCCAAGACGTCCCAGTGTTCCTCGAACAGCTCTTTCGGCAGCCCATCTCTCCCCGGGGCCTTATTTTTCGCCATCGAGTGAAAAGCATCCTTCACCTCCTTCTCCGTCCAGACTGCCGTCAACCGCTCCAAAGATGTTGGCGACAGAATTCTCCCAGCGGCAGGGGTCCAACCCGACACGGTTTGCTGTCTGTCCTGACCGAATGAGTCTCTGTAGAACTGCGACGCCACCCCTAGTATTGCTTGATTGTCGGTGACTACCACTTCTCCTGCACTCAGCTCCGTAATTTGCGTCTTTTCCTTCCGGGCCGTTATCTTTGCTGACTGGAACGGGGACGCGACTTCTCCCAGCACCGCCTCGTTCATGCCGGCCATCACATGCAGCCTCTCCTGCCTCGCCAACTAATAACCCCTTAGCTACGTTTCCTTTTCATCTAGCAGAGGTTTCAGACGAGCGCACCCTGGGTCGCACATCCATGCCTGCTTCAACACTGCGACAGCTTGCTGGAGGTGAGCCGTCGTGGCTCTGACTCGCTTGCGTTCTTCCTTCGCATAAGCTTTGAGCCCGGCGTTGAGCCTTGAGAGCAACAACTCGAAGTTTTCTCCGTTGGAAGCCACCTGCCTTTCCACTGCCCTAATGATCCTTCTAACCCTCGGTCATCCGATCATGTACACAGGCAGCCTCCAGAGCCCGGGACCCATCTGCACTCGCGTGCCTATCCTGAAAGCGGTTTTCACCGCGAAACTGTGATCTGAAATGGGGTCCGCCGGCATGATGTGTGAGGCGAACTGGTGCGACAACAGCGCCTGTGAGATAAGCGCCCTGTCGATCCGCGAGCTGGATTGGTTGGCCTCCGAGTAGAAGGTGAACTCCTGCTTGTAGGGATGCAAAACCCTGAAAGCGTCTGACATACTGAAAGCGCCGCACCGTTGGTAAAACTCGTCGTTCTCCTTCGTTGTTCCTTTTTTTGACGTTCTGTCCAGCAGCGGGTGTTCCACCAGATTAAAGTCCCCCAGAATGAGCAGGTGTGCATCCGGCAGCACAGAGTCGATCACTGGGCCCAGCGTCATGCGGATAAAGGCCTTCCTTTCAGCTGCATCCACTGGGAAGTATACGGCTATCAAGGTGATGTAGAAAGAGTCTAGGTGAATCTCTGCTGCAATGAGTCTACCAGACGGGTAGATGAGAGAGTTGTGTAGTGAGAGACCATGTCTGTGACAGATCAGTGCCACCCCTCCGGCCTTTGTGGTAGGTGAGGCGACAAGGATGTTGGGTAGTCTTAAAGAATTCCAGTATGAGTGGTCGTCTGTGAGCCTGGCGTCAGCAAGTACAATGACATCGGCAGCTTGTTTAATCCAAGATTTTGTGCACTGTTGCTTGTTTCCGTCCCCCAGGCTGTTGACGTTCAGGCCTGCAAATGATATAAGACTTTTTGTACTCATTTAACCACTGCTGAAAAGCCCCATAGCATCCACGGGCTGGTGATACCGACTACAGCTACTCGAGAGCAAACAATCGCAACCACTGCACAACTCTGCTTCAGGTATGAGAGCGAAGGTCTCAGATCTTGTAGTCCTTGCGAATGAGATGCAGGTTCAGCTTCTCCAGGGAACTGCGAGTGGTCGCACCCAGCTTCTCCAGGCCCAGCAGGTGACTTGCCGAGGTGATGTGGTCCGCAGCGGACATGAACGACTTGCCGTGCGTTTTCCCGCAACTATTCAGTGTGCACAGCCATTCCTCCCTGTTGCTCCCAGTGGAGATCCGCACAAACGCCGCATCCAGGAGGAGTGGGGTGACTAGCGGGGAAGCGCGGAGGGAAGCAGCTGCGAGGGACAAGCAACATGTCAGCAACTGATGAGGGTGAAGACGTAAAGCAACAACAGCCACAAAGTCACAGTTACCATTAATCCTATGCACCTGGCCCACTGTTAAACTCCACTTCCCTATGTTATTCTGACGCTCCGTGATGTAGGCATTATGATATTTGTCATAATGGTGACCACCACAGAGCGAGCAGGATAGCAGAGGGTAGTGGGCCAACAAGTTCGTCCCTCCCAGCAGCTGGTGGCGGAACTCATGACGCCAACGGTGCTTGTCGCTAGCATGCTTGGCCACCAACCCTTTGATTTTGTCCGTATCAGCTCCGGTGACCGGGTGAAGCACGCGGTGGAAGCAGTGGCCTTCAGCAAACGCGGACTGCTTCCGGACTTTGAGCGGGTGAGTTACCATGACCTCCTTAACCAGCTCAGACGGGATGTCGGCATGAACGTTCTTAAAGTAGACCTCCAACAGCTGCGGGCTCGAAGCTTTCTTGCGGACGTAAATAGCATCCTCCTGGTGAAGCCAGAAACAGTGGATCGTCGAGCCATTCGAGCGTTTGTGGTCCACCATTGTCTGCTTGATGTTCACAGCGTCAGCCTTGTGCAGGAAAGAGACCTGGAGACGGCTGTAGCGAGTCTTCGCGACGAAAGCAGGGAGCAGCTCCTGAAACTTCACCGAAGAGAGAACATCATTAGTAAGGATGTTCGACCAGACGCGCTTCATCAGCGTTCTCATGGTTAAGATAACAAAAGCGACTTCCGGAGATGGAATGACCGGGAAAATCAGGATTACAGTGAAGCGCAAATGCGGGTAAGAGCTGTTAGCCATATCAATCTCGAGCTCTTCATCAAAATCATCCTCGATGAAATCGTCGTCTGCAGCAACTGTCGCGAGCGCTTTCAGCTTATCTTCAATCGAGAGACCAGATCCACCAGCCGTCACTTCAGCTTCCGATGGAAGGTTGTTAACGCCGTTTGATTGCTTGCTTGGTGTCGTTTTGCCTGCAGGATCTGGTCCACCAGGAGGACCGTCAGGAACAGCCTCAACCGGAGCCTTAATGCGCGAGCCTTTCGGAGGCATGGTGCGATGATAACAGTGAGCCGGCAGAAGCTCCAATGATAAGAGCTGATAAGACTGATGAGCCGGATGTCTGAGCACTTCATTGTTAAGTATGCTGGTGGTACCAGTAGAAGACCAATGCTCTTAGGAGAGATGTTGAGAAACCGAGGATAACACTTCGGGATCATCCCGTTGCACAGAATTATGGTGACCAATAATAGTCAGCGGAGGTGGCTCCTTAGAGTTAGTTTGAAGCCTTGGGAGGCACGCGATATCCTTGGACTTAGCTTCTTGACACAGCACACTGCACCTTTGAGAAAACGATATAATGTTCGCCTGTTGAACACAAAAGTTATATAGTCTTCTGCATAAAGATGTAACGAATCCAATGATGTGGAAATTAAAGCCAAATGACAAATAGGCTTCACGCAATGTCACTATCAGGCAACTGTCAGGCAGCCATGGTGGAGAGCTCAGAGTTGCTGTTTGTTCGACGCATTCGTTTTGGTGATGTTGCATTCATGAGTGTGTGTTTCGTTTTACCATGATTTCCGTGAACTTTAAGTTGGTTTTGTGTACCGACCCTGAACTTTCAACGTTATATATTTTACGACACTGAATTTCCTGCGTTTTTTTGTTTTTTTGTTTTGTTTTGTTTTTTTTTTTTGTGTTTTTTTTTTGCAGCTCTGAATTTTCAGAGTTTAGGGTTCTATGTATGTACTGTAATCCCCCTAGATATAAGACTCCTGCGAAGTACTGAACAGTGGGGTAGGAGTTCAGATACTAGATGATACGGTCTGCTGCGTCCACCTGCTCCTCGGTGGGATTTTGCACCACCCTGGCCAGCTGCCCCACAGCAAAGGAGATGTCCGGCCTGGTGTGTACTGCTGCATAGAGCAAGCTCCCCACCATGGACTGAAAACGAGCCTGCTCCCGCTGATCCACTCCTTCGTTCTCACCAGCTTTGATAAGTTTAAATCCACATGGAAGAGGTGTGGTGATCTTCCTTCCGACCTCTATCTCATACTTGCTCCCCATGTCATTGATGTACTTCTCCTGGTGCAGTTTCACCCATCCATTGCTGACATCCCTCTCGATGTGCATTCCTAGGTAGTAGTTCGCCTCCCCCAGGGTCTTGCACTTGAAGTTTTGCATCAGCTTCTGCTGCACCTTCATTACCTCCTGCTTGCTGCTCCCAAACAAGAGGATGTCGTCCACGTACACCAGGAACATGACGAGGCTCTCCTTCTCCCCCATGAGGAAAAGGCCCTCGTCACATGCACTCGCCCTGAACCCTATCTCCTCTAGAACCGAAGACAGCTTCTTGTACCAGCAGCGTGGTGCTTGTTTGAGGCCATAGATGGCCTTCTTCAGCTTGCACACACGCCCGGTGCCATCCTCATAACCTGGCGACTGCGACATGAACACCTCCACATCTATCAGTCCATAGAGGAAGGCTGTGGTGATGTCCATCTGCACTATCACCCACCCACACACAGCTGCACCGGCGAGGAGAACACACAATGTTGGTGACTTGGCAGTTGCAGCAAAGGTCTCCTTGAAGTCCTCCCTTTCTTTCTGTTGATAACCCCTTGCCACCAGCCTGCTCTTATAAACTGACACGGCTCCTTTGTTGTCAGTTTTAAAACCCGCAGGCCAAGAAGGCCAAATTTGGTTCATCCTTCCAAGCGTTGGTTGGATGTCCCAAAAATGCCTGTGATCATTCCCGAATTCTAGACCTCGTCCAACATTTCGGACACTCCTATTGGTTCGCAGGCCTTTTGCATTTTCACTCCCAACCAACCTTCCTAAGGTTGAAATTCTTGGCCTGCGGGTTTTAATCCTTGGAATCCAGCCACAGCTTATGGCTTTCTTCCCCTCCGGTAGTGGCACCAGCTCCCATGTCCCATTCTCCATTTGGCTGTTATATTCAGCATCTCTTGATGCCAGCCACTTGTCCCGGTCTGGTCCCTTAAGGGCTTCATCCATGGTCAGTGGCTGCGTTGGTGCAAGTGCCATGAAACAGTATACCTCCTCCTCTCCTTCCTCACCAGGATCACGGCTGCTCTCCAGCACCAGCAGTGCATCAAGTTGCTGTTGCTCTCCCCTTGTTCCTCCGTAATCCCTCAGCTTCAATGCGGCTGCTCGCATCTGCCTCTCGATCATGGGTGAGAGACCACGGCCTGTGGGAAGGGATTTGGTTTGGGTCCTTCTTGAGGGAAGGGTGGGGGGTTTCACACGTGTTATGGGGTGAGGTTCTTCAGGTGCACCCGTTGGCTCCACGCCCTTGACCACGGGAAGCTCTGCTGCACCCTCCTCCTCGTGTGGCGTTGCGGTCTCCTCCCCAACCCACTCCTCCTCAACCTCAAACCCCATGGTTGCCTGCTGCAATTGCTGCACGATCTGCTCCTTTGGCTGCCTGGACCAGCTCCCGTAGGTGATATCTTCCATAAACTTGACATCCCTACTGTCGAACATGACTCCCTTGCTCGGCTCCCACAGCAGCCACCCCTTGCTTTCAGCTGCCAACCCCAAATGCACACACCACACAGCCGTTGCACCCAACTTGTTGCGATGTGCCTTGGGGATGTGAGCCACAACCATGCAGCCAAACACACGCAGCATGTCAATTGGCGGCTTCCTCCCAAGCCACCTCTCCATGGGGACCCATGACTCACCACCGACGTTGGTGAACACCCTGTTCTTAACCACCGTGGCGTGGCGCACAGCATGTGGCCACCTTGGGTTCCCTAACCCCGATTCGATGAGAAGTGCCCGTGCCGTTTCTAACACCGTGCGGTTTGCCCGTTCCGCTATGCCGTTGGACTGTGGAGTGTAAGAGGTGGTGAGTTCTCGAATGATGCCCTGCTTCTTCAGCCATGCAGTCAACTCCTCCCCAAGGAACTCCCCACCCCTATCAGTCCTGATCCGCTTCACCTTTTGCCCGGACTGTTTCTCCACGAATGGCAGCCATTCATCGCGTATGGTGGACGGCACATGGTCCTTCTTCTTGATGGGGTATGCCCAGGTAACTCGGCTCCAATCATCCACTATGGTGAGAAAGTACTTCTCACCGCGCTCCCCCACAACCGGTAGCGGCCCCACCACATCCATGTGCACCAGTTCCAACAGTTTCTTACCGCCACCCTCGGTTGCATGGAACGGGAACCGAGTAAACTTGCTTAGCAAGCAAGTTTCACACTTGTGGGTTGTTGCTCCACCTGTCAGCTTTAGTCCCTTAACCCCTTCCTCCTTGTGCAGTTGCTGCAGTGCGGGCATAGCAATATGCCCGAGGCGGCGGTGAGCTGTCATCCAGTCAGTCTCTCCACCCTTTGCCGAAACCTTCAGCTCCTCTGCAGCTACAGCATTGCAATCCCCCTGAGTTCCTCCCTCCTTGCTCCATGGCACAACCGGCAGCTGCCACATAGACTTGCAGATGTCACGGCTCTCGTGAAGGTCCCACAACACCCGCTGTCCCAGCTGCCCCGTGTATGTCTTGGCACCATCGGTGTTGGTGTTGACCCCGCACTTTCCTAGCTTCTTGAGGAAGATAAGGTTAGCTTTGAGATCAGGGACTAGAAGCACATCACTTAGCACCACTGGTTTGCCATCGGCTCCCTTGAATTGAGCACGTCCCGCCCCCGTCACCTTGCGAGCGTGCCCGGATGCCGACTTCACCTCCGCAATCGGTGCAGTCCCCACTTTGTCAAGGAGGTCAGCCCTTGGAGTCATGGTCCATGCTGCCCCCGTGTCCAAGATCCACGTGTTGAGCGGATGCAGTGCAGCTCCAGCGTGTGCGGCCACAGCGTCCTCTCCCGGCTCTTCAACGTGGAAGAATTGTCCGGCTTCCCTTTCTTCGTGTTCAGCCGGTTCATCATCGGCAACCGCTCCGGCCCCGCTCCCATCTTGTGACCTGTTGGAGGGGGTCCACCAACAGGGTTTAGTTCTGCATTTAAACCACGGATAACCCACTTTCTCACAATACCAGCACTTGCCCTCCATTCTCCCGGGTCCCCTTCCTCCCCCTCTGCCTCCTCGGCCTCCATCACGTCCTGCTCCTCTACCGCCTTGCTGGTTGGAGGGCTCCTCCTCCTTAGAAGCTCCTCTCCCAGCCCCTTGCCATTTCTTGCCTCTGCCCCTCTTTCCTCCTTGCATGGCGTAGCTGCTGCTCCCCTCTTCTCCTCCCCTCAGTTGGCGCCTCCGGAAGTCCTCCTCGAGAATCGTGGTGCGGATCCACTCCAAGGTCCAGGAGCTCTGGTTTTGAGGGAGACTCAGGCCACTTGTGAATATCATCCATGACTCCGGCAGCAGCGACAACATCTTCATACACTTGGTTTGTTCGGGGTAGACAATTCCAGCGATGTCGAGCTTGGCGTAGAGGTCTCTCAGCTTGTCCAGGACGGGTTGGACGGGTTCTTCTTCACTGAGACGAAGGTTGGAGAGCTCCCTCTCCAGCATGAGGGTAGCTACAACTGATGTGGGGGCGTGCAGATCCTTGAGCAGTCTCCATG